ACACACACACTCTCTCTCACACACACACACACACACACACACAAGATCAACACTGAGAACAAACTTTAAGACACTAAAGGCAAAACCGGTGTTTTCATGCGCAGGTCAGTTTTTGCTTCCATATCATGTCTTCTTTCAGACTAATGGAAAGAAAACATCCAAAATACACATTTAACTGTTTATTTTATTGCACTTTATCGAACTGCTTCTGTGTGTGTGTGTGTGTGTGTGTGTGTGTGTGTGTGTGTTCTGAATGTGAACAGAAGTACAGGTGGATAAAAGTGTTCAGGCTCAGATTACAGCAACCCAATCAAATCTGTTTGTACATTGGGGTCTGAATGTTTGAGACTGTATTGGACATCTGGGATTTTTCCTGCACTCATAAAAATATGGTAAAATTTAGGTAAAATGTACAAACATTTAGGTAAATATTTAAGCTAAACAGTATTTAATTTTCCTGCCACCAAATATAAAAATATTGACTGTAAATAATGTAGTGTGGTGTGATTATTTTTATATTTTATATTTAATTTTCTTATCACCAAATATAAAAATATTGACTGCAAATATGGCGTGTTGCAATTTTATTAATATTTTTTAAATATTTTATTTTTCTTGTAACATTTATAAAAATCATTTTTATTTATTTATTAAATAATGTGGTATAGTTCAATTGTATTTATATTTTATAAATATTTTATTTTCCTTTCCACTAAATATAAAAATATTGACTGTAAATAATGAGGTGTGATGCAATGACATTGCTATTCTTTATATATTTTAGTTTTCTTGCCACTAAATGTAAAATATCGACTAAATAATGTGGCATGGTGCAATAATATTGATATTATATATATACTTTAGTTTTCATTTTAATATCCCATGAACCCTTTTCTACTATAAAGAACTAATTTTAAAGGTTCTTCATGGAGTCATAGATGCTAATCAATAATTTGTATTTTTAAATAAAGAAAAATTAAATACAATTCTGATTTGAATCAAAGTTATGCCATAAAATGAATATGTAATATTGTGCATTATTCCTATGTGTCTAATCAAGTGTGTGACTGATAACTGATGCATCAGAAAGAATGCTAAATAAAGCCGACTGCCGTGTGTTTGTGTAGAGCTTGAGGAACGTCTCTATGTGCGTTCTGGGATTTGTAAAGTCTCTTCTGTGTGTTTGGAGGTAAATTGGGGCTTTTCTAATCAATACAGCAGTTGAAAGTCAATATTCCAATTATAGAGCAGAACAAGTATGCTATAGTTCAACATCGAATCATTCAGAACCAGAACACTTACCCAGAATGCCTCACAAACACACTCACTGTGCATATTCCAATCTAACTTAGGTGACAGTCGTGGCTTTTCTTTCGTATCATGTGGCCGGTAACATTAAGAATCGACGCCGAGCTTTAACAAACGCTTTACATCAGCACTTGTTCGTCTCCGTAAACAGAGCCTGATTGATTTCAGAGGATTTCCATTTAATACAGATGAGTCTGGAGACTCCCGTGAGACGTGGCCATAAACGCTGAGAGATATTACAGCAGGACAGAGAGATATTACAGTGAGACAGAGGTTGAAGGGGAAAGCAACAGTGAGTAATTATGGGATATCCAGAGGGCTTCAACAGAACATCACCATCGACGACAGACAGAATCAGGAAACGCTGCCATTCGTCTCTCCATTCCGGAGCATTAACAGCATACTGAACTGAACATACTGAATATTTTTATATTTAGTAGCAAAAAAAAAAAATTATATATATATATATATATATATACAGGGGTTGGACAATGAAACT